CCCCGCAGGCGCGACGTGGCTCACCCGCGAGAGTGGCCCACCAGGGCCGAGATCGAACCGAAGAGCGGCGGGCGCTGTGTCGTTCGGTTCGGCAGAACGGGCGAAGGAGCTGCGCGCGGCGCGCGCGCGAGCGGCGCGCCCTTCGTCGCGGCATCGAGCGGGCGCAGCTGCCGCGCAAGGCGCTGCCCGACACAGCGCGCCTCTCGCGTGTATTCGTTGGACCGCAAGCGAAATGGTTACATGTGCAGCGGTGCGCGCACAAAAGCAAATCAGCGCCGCCCGATGGGCAGATGGCGCGGTGGGGAGCTGGGGGGACTGGGAAGGGCAACGGCGACGCTGCCGCCCCCAGCTGCGCCGACAAACGGCCGCGCCCCTGCGATGGCTCAGCGCGCAGCAGGCACGTCCCAACGGCCGCTGAGATCAAGGCCCTGGCTGCGCCCCGTCGGGTTAAACGCGGCGGCTCTTGCGCCAGCGCTGGCCAAGTTGCGAAGGCGCGGGCGCTTCTCACGCCCGCGGCCGCCACGGCGAACGAGCGGCGCGCTCCTGGCGGACGGGCCCGCGCCCAGGCGGGGGCCCTAAGGGGCGATGCGATGCAGCTTTCATAGCAGGGAGCGCACGGGCGCCAACTCCAGCCCGACTGCACCTCCTAGCGCCAAAGAAATCGACGAGAAATGAAAAGCAACTTGCCGCGGCGCGCCACTGCTGCGGCGCGGCACGTCCGCGCGCGGCGGCAATGCATACTGCGCAGTGCGAGAGCGCGCGCCCGACGTCCGAGTCCGACCGCAGGCCCGCGGCAGATCGGCTGTCAGAGAGCCATCGGGCCCCCCGCCCGCGGCGCGATGACGCCATCTCCCGCTCACCGCCGCACGCCCCTACCCCGCCCGCCACCGCCGCCACGCAACGCGTCTAACCGCACGCGCACAGCTACGCCCATGCCGCGCAGACTCGACAATGACAGCGCCCTGCGTATATGCTGCCGACGACGGCACAGCAAGCGCCGCGGTTGGCGGCCCCCCGACGAGCGTTGAAAGGTCAAACGCTTTTGACCTGATGACCTACAGCAGCAGCGCACCTCTCTCGTGCCAGCATACTCGACCCGAAACCTGCGCGTGTACTACCCGCATGAACGCGTCCCGCCGAGCCCGCCATGGCTGTCTCCCTCTCGCGTGGTGGTGGTGTTTTTTTTTTTGAGGGGGGGGGGGGGGCGCTGCATACCCGTTGGATTTGCACACACCACCCTCTGGCATAATGGCAACCATCGCGGAGGTCCATGCGGGCGCGCCGACAAAGTATTGTTGAACGCGCCGCGAGCGGGCATGGCGGCGACTTGTGGACACACTCTACGCAGCCCGCTCCCCCCCCCCATCCGCGCCCCCCTGCAAACGCGGCGCCGCGGCGCTCGATAACATATAACGCCAGCTGCGGTCATTTGGCCAGCGGCGGCGGCCTGACCCAGGGCAACCGCCGCGGCCAATGTCGCCTCGCGCATACAAAACTAATGGGCGTTCGAAGCGGACCCGCCCACACAGCTTCGCGCCGCGGGAACCCCGCGACCGTGAGAAACGGTGTCGTGCGGCGCGGCGTTCACGATGCGGCCCATGAAATCACGATAAAGTAGCATACGATATCTCAAACCAGGGCGGCTGCGGCACTCTTTCTTCGCCTGCCTCGGTCCGATGGCGCCCCCTCGTTTATGTCTGCATCTGCAAGTATCAAACCGACAACCATCAAAATCAGACTTTCAATTTGCATTGCAATTTCGCCTCAAACAAACACGCTGTTGGCAGCGCGCCGCCAAGCCCGAGCGCAGGCGCATTGGCTGCGCGGCTGCGCGTCATACGACGAAAAACAACGGCCATTATAATTTACCGCTGCGTTCTGGGCAGCAAAGCGCCGCACTTGCACCGCAATGCCACCAGAGCTTTCTACGACGCGGCGCAAGTGGTGCAAGTTTTGCGGTGCCAAATACGCGCGTTGGCGTGCATCGCGCCCATCAGTCCTTCGCGTTGCGCGCGTTGTTGCAGAGCCCGCATGGCCGAGTCCGAACCACAGCATGCAACCTCGCTCATTACTCCCGCCGCCATCATGCAGCGCGCGCGTCGCTGATTTTATGGCACACCAAGCACTCCCCGACGCGCGCGTTTTCCACGCACGAGCGCCGCGGTATAGACGGCGCTCAATCCGCGAGCGACTGGTCGCGGCGAGCAAAGCCCCGTTGCACCCGCTCGCCCGCCCGCGCCGCGCCGCCCGCGCCACGCCGCCCGCGCGCGCGGCAATTCCATGTCCCGCCGCGCGGGGGTGGCCGATTCAAATGCCTCGTCCATCGGGGCCCGCTCGCTGTACCCCGCTCGCGAGGACCCGAGGAACCAGTGTCATCTTAGCCAAGCGCGGCGTCTGTCCACGGGGAGCAATCCCGCGCCCCCCCATCATCCACCCCCAACCCCATCCCCCCCCAGACACCCACGCAAAAAGAAAACTCGGCTGGGCTCGTTCCCGCGGGAGCCAGCCCGAATACACGAGACCGCGCGCACCGCGGCCGAAGCGCGGGCACTGTCCATTGAGATTGGCCAGCCAACGCGGCCCCGCCCAACAGCGAGGCGCCGCGCGCGCACCCAATCCATCGGGCTCCGCGCGCACGCGGTAGGCCTGCCAGCGGCCCCCCCGTTCGCGGGGCCCCTGACGCCCATGCCGCCCATCATCATGAGGCCCCGCAAGCGCGGGGGGCCACCCAGACGGCATAGCCTGCTCGCGCGGGCCCGCCCGAAAACCACCGAACAACACGCAAGTCTCACAAGAGCACCCAGCATAGGGCCCCGCCCGCAGGAGCCCAGGCGCCGACCACCGTGCATTGCATCAGTAGGACACACAACTGCGACAAACAGAAGCGGAGGAGCACCCGCACGCGGCTCGCTGCCCCCTGCTCGATAAACAACATTACTTCTACCGACGCATGGCGTTGCCCTGCGCTGCACGTCTTTCGGGGCGTCGCGGCGTCAGCTTGGCGCGTCAGCGCGCGCAACCACCTGCCTGACAGCGATGTCGCGCAGCTCGGTTTGAATTGGCCGAACATGTTGTATGTTGCACATTGCTCACCGCTTTCGCGCTGCACTCTGGAACTGCGCGCGCGGCCACCAATGGCGGCCAGCGCGCCGTGCGCAACCGCAGTTTGCGCCGAGCGCGGGCTGTCGCGGGCGGGCCGCCAGGCGGCGCGCGGCGCCCGAAGTGCAGTGCCGCGGGCCGACCACGGCGCCATCCTGCCTCACGCAGCGGCGCCGCGGGGGCTCCAGCAAACACTGATCCGCCCAAGGGGCGCGCCTGGCAAGCCAGAGCGCGACCCGCATTGCGCATAACTTATGCACTATCAGCGACCTGGTCTACAGAAAGACCCGCGCATCCTCATCAGCCGCGGCCCAGCGGCACACAGCGGTCGGCATGGCGCGCGCGGCGCGCCCGAAGCACGTCGCTAAATGCGATGTCGCGCGCGCGCGCGTGCAGCGCAATGCCGATGCATGGCAAATGGCAATTGGAGCGGCGCGCGCCCGCGTCGGGCGCCCTGCAGCCCAGGCGGCTTCGAGGTCGCGCTGAATCAGCGCTTCAATGGCGCAGAGAACTGCGCCAACATGAACCGATGCGTTGAGCCAGTGCGGTACGCATGTATATGAATGTGCCGTGTCGGCGGTGTTGCGATGATGGTGCAGGTAACCGTGATACTTATATGGCATGAGTATCTGGCATGACGATGGCGTTGGTGGTGTAGGTGATGATGATGATGCTGATGGTGCAGTGCGTTGTGATGTTGTGCACAGCGAAGAGGCGCATAGCCTCGTTTATCAGCGCGGCGGTCGTCGCCTTGGAGCGGCAACCCGCCCCTGAAGTGAAAAACAGCATGGCACCTGCGTGCCGAACTTCAAAGTTCAAGGGCAAGTGGGCGGCTCGGGCGGCTCACCGTGCCGACGGCGACGCTCCCAGTGGAGGAGCGCCGCTGCTGCTGGGCCCAGGCCCTCCACATATGCCCGCGCAGCCTCGCGATCCGCTCTCGAATACCAGGCCACGCCTTTGTGCGCATCGGCATTCAGGTGTAGCCGATGGTCCTTCAACCAGGCCGCCAGGAAGCCGATAGGCCGGCCCTGCTGAACGCGGCGCCCTGCCTTGCAAGTCCTCCACTTCCTGCAATCCTTGTGCAGCGGGTCCGAGCACGTTGCGACCATCTCATCCTTCGTCCGGTTGCATGAGATCTTGCCGCCGTCCACGTCGAGAACTGCTTCGGCAGGTATCCCTGGCCCGCCCGCGCCGCCACCTCCTGGCGGCGGAGGCGGAGGCGGCGGCACCGCGGAGCCAGAAGCCGCAGATCCTCCTGGCGGGTCATCCTCGCCAGCGCTATCCTCGCCCGAGTCCTCTGCCGCAGAGTCGCTGCTGTCTATGAGGCCCCCGAGGCGCGCGCTGTCACCAGAGCCGCTCGACGTAGACGACCTGGGCGTCGAAGGCTCGCCCACTGGCTCCTCCTCGGGGTCCACGGGCGGTTCGACGATGGGCTCTCCGTGCACGTCCTTCAAGTCACCTGCGAAGCAAGAGTTCCATAGAAGCCGAAGCAAACGCTCGGCTCCACATACCCCCTTAGACAAACGAACCGCGGCTAGCCCTAGCCGCCTGATGAGGCCAGGGCGAAATCAAAACAACTTGGACACAATCAAAAACAATTGGCGCAAACAGTGGCCAGGCCCCGAGCGGGGCCCATAAAACGAACCTGATTTCCAAAGCGGGGGGGCCGAAGTACATGGAGCCGCGCGATTCGTCGCGCCCATTTGGAACCCATGCTGGCCATCATCGCACACATCGCTGGACACATCACCACCGTGCTCTCCGCCTCCGCCAGGGCAGACAACCACGTCACTGGCGCCGTCGCCTCCAGGCCCTGGACCACTACCACCGCCCTCGCCACCGTCGGAGTCGTCGCTCTCGCCCTCGCCCTTGCCGCCCTCGGCGTCCATGATCTGCGCGACGAAGCCCCACCCCGACTTGAAGTCCACGTCTTTCTTGCCTGATCTGACGGGCGTCTTCCTCCACTTCGCCCACTTGGGCTTCCAAATGACTCTGCGTGTCGGCACGCTCGGCTTCTCGACCTCCTCCTGCAACCTGACCTCGACGACGTTCGGCACGATGGTCCCCAGCGGCGTGATCTTCTCCCTGATGTTGTACACACATACAGACCACCGAAGGTCCCTGTCGAACTCCTTGAACTCCTGCCATGGCGTGGTAAAGTCAAGCGTGCCCACCAGCCGCGCCCACGGCGCCACGAGCCCTTCCTCATATTGATCAACAGCAAGGCGGTGGAAGCACGACCGCCAAGGCGAGAGGCTCTGGCTCCCGACGTGCAGCCACTTGCTCTCGACGACGGGCAGCCCCTCGACGAGGCCGCTCGTGCGGATGTCCACCTCGTCCCCCTCGTCCTCGGTGGGCTGGCGCTGACCGAAGGCGCAGACCACGATGAAACCAGGCACCAGAACATCTTTCCTGACTTTCCCGACTGGCACAGCCTTCTTCAGCGCGCTGTCGAAGTTCTTCACGATCTTGCCAACATCGATGCCATGGCCGCTGCATACGCACATGCCTGCTTCCATGCAGCTCGGGATACCCGCATCGTCATTCACGTCCCAGTCGGGCTTCGGCACGTGGTCGATGGTGTCGTGGATCTTATCCCAGACTGTAATGAGGGCGGCGAAGACGTCTGCAATGACGTGCCGATTTATTGATAGCCCGCGCTTCACTCGATCCAAGACGTCCATCGGCTCCCATTCGAAGACTTTGAGCTCCGTGCTTGGGAATGGGACGGGCAGGAACTCCTCGAGCCTGTGGAATGCCTCGTCGGACAAACACGCCGCCCTCGAGTCCACGCCCGCTCCTTCGCACCATGATTGCATCGCCTTGCTGATGTGGAGCTTCTCCTCCGCGCGGCACTGCTGCTCCAAACGGTTAGCCTTGCGGACCTCGGCAATGTCGGCGAGGGCCGTGGAGCTCATCGTCTTCATATAGATGGCGCCGTCGTCAGCGGCGATGGCGAGCTCCCCGCTGGCCGAGCACGCGGCGATGCCCTCCGTGATGACCCTCTCCTTCATCCTGTCCTTGACCATTGTATCAGCGACGGACTTCATATATGATCGCTGCAGCTGGCGCGTCTTGTCTCCGAACGGCCGCTTGTTGCCAGCCCTCGCAGCTCGCGTGGCAGTCTTCCCAACTTCCTTGAGCTTCACCTTCTCATCTGGCGTGAGCTCGCGGTACTCCTGCGAGAGCAACTTGAAATCAGGGCTGCCCTTCTGGCCCAGCGTCCGCTGCCGAACGAACGCCCTCCATGCACCTCCATGTCCAAACTGGCGCTTCGAAGGTGCGGGCTTCTCTTTGACGACCTTCTGCTTGGCGCCCTTGATCACCTTGCCAGCCCACCCCTCGCGCAAACGACGCCGCCGAGTGCGGAATCGCTGCAAGCTTCTCAGGGCAGAAAGGCGCTTGATGTGCAGCGAGTGGGTCTGTACGCTCAGCGCGCAGAGGCTCCTCCTGATGGCCGCGTGGCTGGCCTCAATGCTGACAGTCTCGCGCTTGAGGAGGAATGCGGCGTGCGTGAGCTCCGCCTTCAGGTCTGGGGGTAGCAAGCCGTCCTTGGACTCGGCGTACTTCGCGATGAGAGCCTTGCTCCAGCGGTCCTTCATGTCATCGCACTCGCCCAGGATGTCGCCGCAGTTCCCGTCCAACAGGGTAAACATTTTGAAAGGATGCCCGCCGTGCAGCGTCTTGAGCTCGTGGCAGAGGCAGCCGATCTGGCTCAACATCACGAACGCCTCAGTGCGAAGGCTGTGCAAACGATAGCTCGGCGGGATGACGGCCCAGAACGACTCGGTGGTCATGATGTCCTTGAGCGCATTGAAAAACTCGTCCTCGAGCACGAACTTGGACGCAGCGATAACGGTGAATACGTCGCACTCTACGTCGACATCAATGCCTGAGAGCTTCTGGAGCTTGCGGAACTCAACCAACTTGTCATTGTTTAGGCCGGCTTTCCCGATGTACTTGCCCATGATGCTCACGAGGGGCCTCAGCACTTGCCTGATAAGCACTAGCCGCGACTGCGGGCCTGAGTTGAACAGCCACTTCGCACCCAAGAAACGATGCTTCGAGTCCTCCTTCCTGCGGTCGTCCTCTGCGGCATTCTGCGCTCCACCGTCGCCGCGATCGCCGCCACCATCGCCTCCTGCATCGCCGCCTGATGGGTCGCCGAGGACTGCGCCGTCACCCGCGCCATGGCCGTAGTCGCCGTCGCCCAGGGGCAGCATGCCTGCTGCGACGTCGTCGGAATTCAGCTTGTCAACCTCGGGGGGGTAAGCGGGGCGTGGCGAGCGGGTATCGACAAGTCCCCCCAGCTCGAAATGCACGAGACCACAAGGTCCCTTGTCACCCAATCCCCCTCCGAAGGAGGGGGGCAAGGTGAAGGTGAGGAGGGAGGCGGGGAGCTCGAATGTGACACTGGATGTCACGTGCGGTCCCGCCCTACTCATCGGCCACTCCTCCACCCGCCACCCTCGCCCTCGACTCCGCTGCCACCCCCTCCTTGCCCTCGTCGCCCGAGTCACCCGATCCCCGACCCCTCCTATCCTTCCCGCCTCATCCAAGAAGCCCTCAAAGTTTGGACGGATACCGCATGACATCAGCATGCAAACGGGGGGTGGTAATTACATGTCCCTGGCTCCAATCCTTGACGCCAGACCACTTGAGGAATGCGCGCGTGAGCAAGCCGTGGCACGACTCCAGGACGCCCATCCAGTCGACGCTGTGGTCGAAGCCCGTCCACCTAGAGTCGGGCCACACCTTCGGGTCGGTCGCCGCCACGGCCGCGACGAAGAGAGTCGTGAACTTCGACAAGCAATCATTGCGAGACAGACAGCACCCGTTGCAACAATGCTCCACCACGTGCCTGAACCAGAACCCCAATGGCACACCCACGCACGAGCATCGGCCACCGCAGCCCCCTCCAACGTGCCTCGAGACCCCCGTGGCCGAAAAACTTATGCCCAACCAGGACTGTGGCCCGAGCCCCAAGGCGAACTCAAACGACAAAAAATGAAAAACGACGAAAGCTATTACAAATTGTTTGGCACTGGCGGGAAGGGGACAGGCGGCTGCTCGAGCGCGGGGCGCGACGGGCTTCTGGATCCGAGGCCTGTTCGACCAGCGCCCATTCGCCAAGGAGAGGATCACGCTTCGCTTCATGCGCCTGTGCGGGGAGGTGTCCTCGAGGAACAGGTCTAAGCACATCTTGTTGTAGTTGGTGTCGACGGCGGACGGGGCTCGCTGCCTGTGGTACCTGAGCGTGTCCGAGATGACTTGCCTGAGCGTGGTCCTGAATGATCTCATGGCGTCGCCACTGCGCAGCGCCTTCGCAACGTGAACCATCGAGCTGGTGTCGTGCTTCGTGTGGAGGAACGCTGCTTTGAACCATTTGTACACCATGTGGACCTCGCACTTCAGCTTCAACGTGTCGCAACTGTCACCCGCTTCACGATCTAGGTTCCGCTCCATCCTGGTGATGCCGCCTGCGCCGTCGGTAGTGACCAGCCGCTGACGTCGATCAAATCTCTGCGGCACGCCGTCCATCGGCGGCTGGCTCGCCATGAGCGCGTCGTGCAGCACCTCGCCAGTCGTCCTGCTCAGCGACTGGACGGGCGTCCCGAACGGCACGCGAACGGCGAAGTAGCCCTCGGCAGGCAGGTGGAAGAGCATGGAGTACATGCGCTCGGTGTTGAGGATCTTGGCCACGTGGGTGCTCTTGCAACTCGCGCTGATCGGCACCATCTGCACAGCTCCGTCTTCGTCTTGTCCAGGTCCTTGCAACTGGGGCTGCTGCTTCTCTAAGTCGCGTTTCTCGGTGTCGGTCAGCCGCATGGTCATGGGGGTCTCGTCGTACCTCACTGCCTCCGTCCAGCTGATGGCTCGGCCTCCGCGCCTGATAATGCTGTCCACCAGCTGCCGAGCCATCGATTTGCAGTCCCGCTGCTGCATCACGTTGCACGCGCTGGCCGTAGCTATCAAGAATGCCTCTGCCGTCCTCCGCTGCACTTTGAACTTATCGCACTCCTCACTGAACGGCAGGGTCTTGGCCTTCTCGTCGAGCCAGTAGTTCGCCATCTGGTGCTGCCTCACGTTGAAGAAGGCTGGGTCGCGCCCGTTCGCCGCTGAGATCGCGCTCACCTGCTCGACGAGCTGCGCGACGTCCCAGCCGAGCGAGCCTTCTGCCGCTGGTAGCGGCGGCCGCTCCTCCGACTCGCCCGCGAGCGCGAGCTCCCAAAGTTCGGGGGGTCCTGGCACGTCGGGGGCATCTGGCTCGGCGGGCTCGTCGCCGTCAAAGTCGCCGAACAGTTCCAGCGCGTCGTCGTCGGCCGCGCCCGCGGCAGCTGCAGCAAGCGCAGCCGCCACTATCGCCCCAGAAACTCGAGGCTCAGCCACCGCACTCCGACTCGGCACCGACATCGAGATCCGTTGGTGTCGCACTCGCTTCCGCAGGGGCCCAATCGCACACCACACAGCCTGGGGAGTTGCAGAAATACCTCCTCCCCCACTCCGCATCCTCATCATCCCTCCTCATCCTCCATTTTTTTCAACATCCTCCCCCTCTCCCCGATTATATCCACCATACCTCCTACCATCGCTCGGCCCTGGCCCCCATCGTCCCCCCGCCGCCTTCCCTCCTCCGCCCCCCGTCCCGACGCCGACGTCCACCCCCTCGCCCAATTTCCCAGGCCCCGAGCCTTGCGCCTTGCCACGGTGCACGCGGGCAAGGCCTCAAGGTCGAGGCCGTGCTCGTGCGGGTCGCTCGGCGACGGCGCGGCCACGGGCGCGCCGTCGCCGAGCTGCAGCAAGTCCGCCTGGGCTGACGGGGGGGGGGCGACCGACGGGGGTGAGGGAGGGAGGGGCGTCGAGTGAGGGACGACGGCCTCGTCGAGCTGCGAGTGCTCACGCTCGGCCGCCACCGCGGCCCAACCATCCGCCGCGCAGCCGTCCTCGGCGTGGCCCGCGGCGGCTATGGCGGCCCAGCCGCTGCCGCCCGCCGCCCCGACGGCGGCGGCAGGGTCAGCCGCCGCGACGGCGGCCCACCCTCCCCCGCCACCGCTCATGACGGCGGCAGGGTCAGCCAAATTGGCTGCACCCACGGCGCGGCGCGGCACAGCGGCGTGGCGCGGGCACGGCACGGCACGGCACGGCGGCACGGGCACGGTACGGGACGGCATGGCGACGCGGGCACGGCACGGCACGGCGGCGCGGGCACGGCACGGCACGGCGCGGCGGCACGGGCACGGCGGCGCGCGCACGACACGGCGCGACAGAACGGGCACGGCCGTGCGGGCATGGCACGGCACGGAACGGCGGAACGGGCACGGCACGGCGGAACATGCAAGGAGGAGGTATGGATAATGGCGAGGAAGGAAGCGTTTAGGGAGGATGTAAAGTTTAGGGAGGAGGTAAGCCTTAAGGAAGAAGGTAGGCATTTAAAGAGAGGGGAAGGATAATGGCGAGAAAGGAAGGCGCACCCCTTTGTTTGTGGATGTCGAACGGGACGGGGCGGCTTGTTGTGAAACATACCTTATCTTGGATCACGACTTGATGCGACTACTTGTGGTGAGGCTACTTGGCCTCGGGACTACTTTTGTTGCTACTTCGAACATTACTTTGGAACCTACTTGGTATGTGGGGGGGGGGTGCTTCAACTCCTACTCCGAAACCTACTTTGGTACCTACTTTGGTCGTTCTGTGGGGCCTATGGGCGTAGCGGGACGTGCCTATCATAAGGTGGGTCGCGGAGGGGGTGGCTGCTGGCGCGGGCGGCACGGGCTCTGGCTTGGCCGCCGCGGCGGCCGCTCCCGCGGGCGCGGCGCTGGCCCTTGCGAGGGCCCCGGGCGGGGCGGCGGCGGCGGAAGCGGCGGATCTCGCTCGCGGAGTGGGAGGTGCTGCTGGAGCTGCTGCGTGCGGCCTCGAGCGCGCCGGCCTGGCTGGCGGTGACGAGCCACGGCGGCGTGGGCCGAGGCGCGCACGGGGCAGGCGGAGGCGACGAGGGCGACGGCGGAGCTGGACACGGCGCTCGCGGGAGCGGCGCCTGCTGGCGGCGGAGCTGCTGCCTCGGAAGGCCCTGGGGAGGTCTTCGAGCGTGCCGACTGCCTCCTTCGGCAGGCGCCCGGCTACGGGCCTCAGCTCAGCGTGCAGCTTCGGCAGATGCTGGAGTCCGTGAGCTGGAGGCCCGCCAGCGCCGCGTGAGCTGGGGAGTGCCTTCGGTGGTCTGGGCCTTTTCAGGCTCGGCACGGGGTGGATGGTGGCTCGCGTGGCCGCCTCACCTGACGGCGCACACCCAGGCAGCGTGGCGAGCGCGCTGCTTCTTGGAGGCCGCTGTTGCGGTGCCTCCTGGCCGCATTTTGCGGCTCTCGCCTTCTTGGCGGCGGGATCGGCTCGTGCCGCACGGGCTGCCTGGTGTGTGCAAAAAATAATGGGGCTCGATTCTAACGTGGTTTCCGCATGTTCGTATTACCGACTCCCCAGAATCGCACTGGTTCTTTAATGTGCCGTGCGAGCTGAAAGTGGGAAATTGTGTCGGGAGAGGTGTGGGCACGACCTCCCTGGGCGGGAGACCTGGGCGTGGGGATACCGGCCCCACTTTTTCATACAGTTCCCCCATGAGCAGGAGGAGGAGGAGGAATATAGGGCGGAGGAGGGTTCAGCATGATGGATGCATGGAGCACGTAGAAGCATGGTGCACAAGGGTGCACTGATCGATGTTGCATTTCCATGTTGCACGAACTAGTATTGTTGACCCCCCCGGTTCCATGCTGTGTTTGTCATGTACAGTGCTCCTCTCGGGGATCTCACCCTGTGTTTTACAAGGGGGCGTCTTGCGCCTCAGATTGCTGTGGATCACGCGCCAACGCAACAGCGGCTTTCGCCTGACATTTCCTCACACATTAAAACAAACAATTTGCTCTCACGCGGGACTTCATCATAATGTATGCAGGAATCGCGCTCCCGCGTGGCACTTGGTCGCCATTTGCTCAGACGCCGCGCCCTTGACACAAAGGAGTCACGCTCTCGCTTTGGCCGTCCGTGCGATGTATTTTGGAATCGCGATGTCCTGGCGATCCGTGCAGGACTCACGCTTCAGCAACCCGCCTGCTCGATCCTGCCGCCTGGGCCTGCCTTCCAGACCCACCTGTTACGGTCCACCCGCCCGATATGCCCGTCTGGTTTTGCCACCTGTTTTCTGCTCCCAGCCCTCTTGTTAACCTCTCGCGTGCTCCATCCTTCTCCGTCCCTTCATTTCCTTTGTCCTTTCCTTCCCTGCTCTAGGGGTTGCGCCAAGTTCACGTGGCAGGTAAGGAAGATCTGCTCCCAAGGGGCCACGAGCAAAGAGGAAGATGGCGGGTGTCGAGCGTTCGGGGTATACGTGTTGGATGGCATCCGAGCAGATAAGAGCAAACAGTCTTGAAATTATTGTCGTTACAGTTTTTCCGGGGGCAAACCACATGTTGGTGCACGTGGCCACACGTTTCCTAGAAGTCCTTAGGAACATCTGCGGGATTGCCCTCTTTCTCTAGCCAGCATCCTACTCCTCGACCTGCATCTTCATGTTTTGTCGCCGTCAGGGTGCGTTGCTTGGGCAAGGGCAGACACCCAGAGCTCCAATCTTTTCGATACATGGACCCCCCGAGGACTGGACCCATTCCCATTCCCGGGGAAAAGTTTTTCATCCCGAGCTGTTTTTCCCAACCATCCTGTGGTGTTGGGTCTTCGTTTTGAAGAGACGGTGCCCCGCGTTCCTCCTCCCGCTGCCCCCTCCCCCCTCCTCCCATCATCATCACCATCCTCATCATGCTCATCATCATGAGTATCGTCATCATCATCATCATCCACATCGTGGTTGTCGGTCATCATCATCACCATCATCATCATCATCATCATCATCATCATCGGCACACCCCTCACACGTTTCGTGGCCCCATAGGGAGCTCCACCGAAGGCCCAAATGGCTGCGTCCGCATGCCGCCGCCGCCCAATTTTGGCACACCCCTCACACGTTTCGTGGCCCCATAGGGAGCTCCACCGAAGGCCCAAATGGCTGCGTCCGCATGCCGCCGCCACCCAATTTGGCACACCCCTGGCGTGGCCCCACTCCACCCCTCACACGTTTCGTGGCCCCATAGGGAGCTCCATCTAAGGCCCAAATGGCTGCGTCCGCATGCCGCCGCCACCCAATTTTGGCACACCCCTCACACGCTTCGTGGCCCCATAGGGAGCTCCATCTAAGGCCCAAATGGCTGCGTCCGCATGCCGCCGCCGCCCCATTTTTGGCACACCCCTTACACGTTTCGTGGCCCCATGGGGAGCTCCACCGAAGGCCCAAATGGCTGCGTCCGCATGCCGCCGCCGCCCAATTTTGGCACACCCCTCACACGCTTCGTGGCCCCATAGGGAGCTCCATCTAAGGCCCAAATGGCTGCGTCCGCATGCCGCCGCCACCCAATTTTGGCACACCCCTCACACGCTTCGTGGCCCCATGGGGAGCTCCACCGAAGGCCCAAATGGCTGCGTCCGCATGCCGCCGCCGCCCAATTTTGGCACACCCCTCACACGTTTCGTGGCCCCATAGGGAGCTCCATCTAAGGCCCAAATGGCTGCGTCCGCATGCCGCCGCCACCCCATATTTGGCACACCCCTTACACGCTTCGTGGCCCCATGGGGAGCTCCACCGAAGGCCCAAATGGCTGCGGCCCAGGCGTGATCCTGGACTGCGGCCGCCACGAGGTCGGGAACGGCAAGAAGGAGGACGACGACTGGTGGCTGGAGCTCTACGTGCTGCTCTCGCGCGCCACGCGCCACGAGGATCTCCTGCTCATGCGGGCGCCGCTCATCGAGTTCTTCCTGGCAGGGCCGCCGGAGGGCTTGCGGAAGCAGCTGGAGCAGTTTGCAGCGCGCACGAAGCGGCGCAGGAGGGAGGCGACGGCCTTCGCCAGAGAGCTGGGCTTCAGCGAGTTCATCCGCGAGGCCTGACCTGGGGAGCGGCCCCGCACGAGCCAGCGGCGCGCGCTGGTTGTCGCTGACGCTTGGATGACCCCAGCTCGTCGTCGGGATTTCTCGCCAGAGGATGACCGGCGCCTGTCGGGGGATTTCACCCAGATCGCGCCATTTTCGCACGCCTCGCCACGCAGTACGGGGGTGCTATCCGTTGACTCAGAGTCGCAGTGGACAACCCCCGCGCGTCGATGGGATTCCCTCGGGATGACCAGACCGCGTCGGCGAGGACTTCCCAGGCACTTTCGCGCGGCGCCGCCTGCGCGCTGCATTCTGCGTGGCTCGCTGTCGGTCTGGAGGCAAAAACGTCTCCCCTCGTCTCTCGCTCCTCCTGCTTCCCATCGCTTCTTGACCGCGCGCTTCCCCGTCTCGTTTCTGCCGCTGCTGACCTGCCTTCGACATCTA